TTTGCAATAAAAATATTTAATGTAATACGAACATTATATAAGAACACAATACCAAGGACTTAACTAGCTGCCATATACGCTTTATGGTAGAATGAATGCAAACAGGATTAAAGTGTCTTTTTCTTTCTTTATACAATTAGAAAGCGGAATCTTTATTAACGTAAATTATTCACAGTATATACATCAATATATATCGTCAAGAAGTAACAGCAGTCAGCCCCCGTCAGCCCCCCCCCCCCCCTTATATCATACGTACATATGTACTACAAAAACATCACTTATTCCTTTGGTCATGTAAATACTGAATACGTGTTTGAATCTCAGGACTCAGCGTGTAGAGCCTTTTAAATTTCCCTGTATGGATCGGCTCCTCTATTACACATAACACATCGTGAGCTTTCGGCCAAATTATGTCACTTTTTAGAGGCCACTGAAGACACATTTTTTTCTTCTCCATGAAAGAAATTTCATATTCATTATCGTCAGCATCTACACACAAAACCTTTCCAACATACCAGCAGTTATTGTAAACTGCGGCAACGAATTCGCCAACGTGTACCTCTATATTTTCCCTCTCAGTTTGCATGGATTGCTTTATTGTCTCTTCTTGTATTTCATTACTTGGTCCTACTTCGTATGATTCCATTACTTGTTTCTGTTTTTTCTTTGAATCAAACACCATTTTTTACAACTGTCCAATGGCCGCATATATACCCATTTAAATATGTAGCACAGTAGAAGCTGACATCGGCATAGCCAACAGTTCCATCTCTGATTCCAACGATAGCATGAAGTTTAAAGATTCCGATAAATCAGGCTACGTATACCGCCGTATTTACATAAGGGGATTAGAAGGTTTTATTTTTTATTTAGGTATGCAAGCTATATAAAATTAGGCCTTCTAGCATGCATGTACTCGTGTGTACAATCAGCATGCCCTTCAATATTATATAAACACGGTGTTACTATACCAGGCTATTCAATATGTACTACATAATATACACTATTTATGTGTGTACTACATGTGAATACGATTCCCGGGGAAACAAAAAGACAAATACTTTTTGTATGTCCAAAATGAGCCATTTGATTGATACATACACTAAATAGCTTCATAAATAACATCTACAAAGTATATCTAATAGTAATTTTCAATTTCAATGGTGAAACTTCCCTGGTTACGATTATACGGGAAACCATCACGAGACGAAGATTGTTCGCCTTCCTGGCTTACCTCTGAATCGTGTACCTGGTAATCTCTTTATATAGTTTAGCGAGAACGCTGCGCCTGCGCAGTATTAAACTTTGGCGCACACTTTAAAAGTGCCTTTCAAGGCACGAAGCCCTTCGCATTGTGACATTACTGCAGAGTCCGTTTCCTGGCTTTCTTTGATAGAAACCAATAGGAATTCAACATTTTTCATAGAGAATGATCTTGCCCATTTGAAAAACTCCTCGGCGTCCCAAATGCTGCACTTATTTCCACAAACTGCTTCGTCAGCCATTCGTTACACGTACCCCCAGCCCATCACAGGGACCTTTGCCATGACCAACTTCAAAATAATTCCATCTTGCATCAACTCAAAAGATGTCGAGATGATTTGCGACAGTCGGGAATGCTTTATTGTTCCTGAACTGACTGGTGGGCCCATCTGTCCAGTAGTGGATTGTTTTAAGTTCTGGTTTGAGTTGCTTTAACTTGGGCATTAGCTTACCTATGATCGTGTGAACTGTACCATAGGAATATGACATTTCATCTGACACTACAACAAAACTTTTATGGGTCAAATCTCCATTTTGTCTATAGTATTCGACTGCAGGATGAAGTGTGATACTAGTCTGATTCCAATGAGCGCTCTGTACTTCATCAGATGATTTGCACGAATAATTCTCCGCAAAATCCATTTGCGCTATCATATCACGATCATCTAAGTTGTCCTTCAACTCTTTCATTTCACGGTATTGTTTTTTAATTCTAGCTACGTGTTCTTTGAAATCCCTAACCATTGTTGTGAAGAACTCCAAAAACTCATCATTTCTTACGTCAGTATCGACTATTCTTGTGACATATTTTTTCTTATTCCTTTCTGTTATTTCTACTCTCTTCCATTGACCAACTTTGATGATGTCAGATTTCAGATTATCTTTCACGAGCTGCACATGCTCATCTGCAGATTTTATGAATGTTTCAGTCTGCTTTGGTATATTGACACCCTCATTTTAAGACAAGGGCCATATTTTGATGCTTTATACATAAACATGTTCTTCTTGTGGGGAACGAAGTGGGGACAAGGTGTGGTGGACACATGCGACAGAATGTTGCTAAATACATCTTTATGCTTGGATTTTCAGACAAAAACTTTACATGTAAGGCTGACATATAGTCGCAAAGTATACGCCTCTGCTTCTTTACACCATCAGTACTATCATAATCCTTTTTTTCCGGGCATCATACGACTATTGTCGTCTCTCTCCATGAATACCTCATAGGTCTTCATAAACTTGTGTGCAGTACGCTTTCGAAAATGTTTATTTGCCTTGTCGAATTTATGTCCCCTTGCTTGTGATAAATGTCGTCTACTCAGTCCTGTGTTTTTGTTCAGCCAAGCAATGCCCTTGTACTTCTTTATCACCTTTCCGGATACTATATTAATTAAATTAGATTTTTACATGTTTTCCACTTCTTAGATTTTTCTAGATTTTTGATATGTCTTTAAACTCATCAATATGCATTTGTTGCACTAGGTTTAATATTCTATTGCAATTTTTTCATTTATTTTTGATGTTTTTACTGGAATACAAACGATTCACCTGAAAACACGTAGACAAGACTTTACCGACAAGATTTTAGGACGGATAAATCCAAAAAGGCTGACAATAAAAAAGTGATTATGAGTTTTTGCTGATTTCGTTTTACAAAATTGTCACATATAATCACTGTTAACAATAACATAGTCTTTTACAACAAAGTACACCTGAAATTATTTATAAAGCTACTAAATAGTTAACGTATGGAAACTCAAAACCACCATTCCATATGATACAAAGTATAATCGCGCGCTAACTTTTCTTAAGACATTCAAAATGGCTGACATGACTGAGCTAACAGGTCAAAAACCTAATCAGATGTAGAACGAAGTAAGCTGAACAAGATATTAAATCTTAAGAGCAACTGTGAAGCCGTTTTTCTTAAAGTTTGCAGACAAGTATTTTAGCATTTGACTTCAAAATGGACGATAAGAAGTAGGTATCGAGTTATATTTTTCATCTACATCTGTAAGCACTTTTAAGTTGTCCCTGAAAATTTGAAGGTGATATCTGTGTAACGGTTTTGGAGAAAACATATTAATTTTATCAATTAGTCGATGTTAAAAATAGTCGGGAAACCCAAAATAGGTTAATACGCTCCAATACGATTATTCCCGGGGACAATACGATATTTTCATGTAATACGCTCCAATACGATTTTTTCCCGGGGACAATACGATTTTTTCATGTAATACGATTCAATACGATTTTTATTACTTCACATTTCCCTGGGAAAACAGTAGTATTATGGAATAAAGTATAATATAACCTTACTTTGAAGAGCTATCTAAGTATTTAGTGAATTTTTACTCTAGGCAGCCATTTTGAATTTTGAGGTACACATCAGAAAAACAATACTACACTTTGGTCTACTCTAAATTCCTTTAATTAATTTGGGTATAATATAGCCATACTTTGAATAAATTTTGGAAACTATTGTGTAATCCCACACGAGGCGGCCATTTTGAATTTTTGAGGCCCGAATCAGAAAAAAGATACAGCAATTATGATCTTCTCTCAAATTCCTTCAATTTGAGTATAAAAAGCCATACTTTTTCGGGAAAACTATTCACCTATAAACTTGCACATCTTTCCAGCAAATAACATGTGAAAGAAATCCGTTCACTAGTATAATTGACTTATCTTGCATCAGAGTCGTCATTCTTGTCTTCTTTCTTCTTTTTGTCGTCTTTATTTGTCTCGATTGATTTTGATTTTAGTAAATATAATTTCTTCAGGGTCCACAGACTTGAGACTGCGCATAGGTGGGATAAACATTTTTATTCGGCCGGAAAACGCTCCCCTTCCCTTTTCTGGTGTTCTTATGTTGTCTTCTGCCGTTTCCTTCCTCTTACTTGAATTGTGATCGGTCCCCTAACTTCTCATATTTCACCATCTTTGTGGAGAATATGTAGTTTCATATTAATTTGGTAAAGATTAAAAGGTGGATTGGATCGAGTGGATTGGATTCATGTAAAAGGTGGATTGGATCGGGAATCTTTGAAATATGGATTTTCCTTAAAAATTCTATTGATCTCCCTGTATGTCAAATAATAAATGTAACATTATTTTGCTTGGTTGACTAGATGGGTGAACTGGTACTCGCTTTCTTATTCATTCCAAGTGTAATTTGAGACATTTATAAATCATAAGGCAGACTGGTTTGAAGATCCATATCATCTGTTTTCAGTTCAAACAGAAACAAGGTGAAATGTTTTTGGAACATCCACATATCAATTTGAATGACAGCTTTTATCTACAGATCTATGTTTATTATGTCTTACAAAAGTTGATTTACAAGGGAAAGCAGTTAAATACTTAAGGAGTATCTATCAACTAATTGGATTATATATTTGTTGTTGCTTTGTTCTGATTCCTCAAAGGGACCCAAGTGATCACAAAATACTTGAGAGGGAAATTGCTTAGAGGGAGTTCAACAGAAAAAAACTTAAAGAAATTCCATATATGTAAAATGACGACGTTCATATACATTTTATTTTGGCTATAACGGAAAAAGCAGTGGAGCAATTTTGTTTATATTACAGATGTGAATACTTGCACACTGTTTTATGGCTGTTCAATGGGATTTACCACGCCTTGGCGTTATATTATTTAGCTACTACATTTTTATCTCCCATTATAATCATTCCCAGATCATTTTAATTTACAAACAATAACACAGGGTTACATTTTACAGTTTTATCATAGGGTATGTCATTTACAATACAAAATATATAAAACGCAAAACTCAGATATTACATATACAGGCTACAATATGAAGGAGCACATACACTTCGAATACAATTCGAATACGTTATAAATGCATTGATCCTGAATTTGAATGACAATGTGGTAAAATGCGCCACAAGGTTCAGTGCCCAGTTCCTCTTTAAATGTAAGAGGGAGGTTAAGTAATATTTTTGATAGAACTTGTACATAAACGTAAAGTGTTATGACCCCTATGACTTACTGTTCCTCACTAAATTTTCAATATGCTTAATTAAACTATATTTTAAACTATTTTCTACTCAATCGGGGAATTATTATAGCATACTACGATGGGGATAAATAATGACAAGAGCATCATAGTTTTACACATTCACGTACAAATTCTCTATGAAAATGCAACGAAAGCAACATAATATATAATTCATTTAAAACAAGCCGTGGGTCTTGAGCAGTCAGGTCTGAATAATTCTCTGTCATTGTACCATCGATGGCACATCCACCTTGTGAGGCTAAGGTTGCATTCGCTGGTATTAACTGCAGTTTGTTGGGTGACGATTCGATAGGTATTTTATAACCAATTTATTTAAATATGAATAGTACGAACACATTAAGTATCCACGAGTCAGTCGAATGTTAAATTCGCAAATCTAAAGTTAGCACATTGTAGGTCCACTGCACGTTTACTGCGAACCCCATAGCGCGTTTAACCCATTTCTAATTTGTCATCATCTCAGACGCCTTTTGTTGACTCATTCATCGTTCTGTACTTCTGTTGTGACTTTCCTGTGTACTTTACCATCTGGCCCGATACGGGTTACAGTTTTAGTGACAATAGTTTTAGTAACTGTTGAACTCTGTCCACCCTCTTGTGTAAATTTCATTTGTGAGCCGTCCCATTGAATACTGAAGCGAATCCCTGAATCAGTTCTCAAATACCACTTCCCATCTTGATTCTCCAAGTGGAGCCGCACGTCATTGGAATCAAGTCCCAATGTGGTCAAGTGTACTTGTAGTCCACTATTGAAAACAATCCGCCAAGACCCATCGCTATCCCTTTCCAGAGTAGCGTCCGAAAGTGCATTGTTTTCGTTTTGTGTATCACGTGTAGTTGGTATATCAAAACGTTTACCAGATGCAGTGATGTACCAAACACCATTTTGGCTCAGAAGCTTTGGTCTGGCGTTTGATTGGAGGCTTATTCCATAAACGGATTTTAGATTAAATCTTTCCCCGCTTGACGTGACAAGGTACCAAATCCCCAAAGACCTGACAAGCCTCGCTCCATCAAGATTAACAGAGGGTAGTTTAAATGAGTTCAATATATTCATGCGGAATCGTCTTCCAGAAGATAACACTATGAACCAAGCATCTCCGTTATTTTCTAAAGATGGAGTTTCTGTACTTCCAACATTGATGCCTAGATCACGGAGTTCAAATGTCCCGGAGCTCTGTGTGGTCAGGAACCACAAACCGTTGATTTTCTGTACTTTTGACGTTTCGAGATCCTTTCCAGAAAAGGTAAAACCCTCTTTTGTATTGATCTCAGATACGTACCGTTCTCCAGTGTAAGTTACAATCAAGTACTTAGTACCATCTTCTGTGACCAGATACCATCTATCATTCTCGAGTATAATTGTCGGCTTGGCGGCGTTTATTAGTATATCAACCCCTATCAAGTATTTCACAGGTATCTCCCGATTGTCATTCATTCTAATGTACCACGATGCATAATCCGGGTGTTTAAAGAGCTCCGCGCCTTCTAATTCAGTGACTTCAACCGGTACTGGAGGGACAACAGTAAATGATTTGCCATTTGGAAGTGTTATCAACCAACCACTATCCGTTTTGGACAAAGCAGGGCGAGCGTTTTGTCTTAGATTTACACCCAAATTTGTCAGTTTGACACTCTGTCCAGTTGATGTGAGAAGAATCCATTTACCAAGTTGCTTCTTGAGACTTGCACCTTCAAACGAGAATAGATCATCACTAGTAAGTTCTGGAACACCAGTAAAAGTTTGTTCGACGGTATCAATGGGACTTGTAGTGCTTGACTCATCTGTCATTGCTCGATCAACGTTTATGACAAATCGTTCGCCACTTTCAAGTACGCAATACCATACCCCATTAACATTTTCCAAACTTGGTTTAGAATCTAATCCAATATCTACGCCCATATCGTTCAAATTATACGTGGCTCCATTTGTAGTCTCAACAATCCAGTTGTGATTTTCCCGTTTCAAGATTGCACCATAGAGATCGATCTGTTTTGTTTTAATTTCGAAGTTATCTTCCGATACATGCAGATCAGTGGATCTGTTGGTTATTAAATTGAGGGGGTATCTATTTTCGTCAGCTACTACATACCACTTCTGCCCATCTCTTACTAGTTGAGGTTCAGAACTAAAATCAATATCAACGCCAAGATCTGCAAGCTTAATTATCTTTCCACTGATTGTCACGACCACCCATTTGTCACCATCATGATCAAGTGTGGCACCTTGCAGGTTGATAAGGCTAGATTGCTCGCCATCTGGTACCGGTCTCTCAATTAAATCTTCATTTCCGATTAAATTTCCACGTGACCTTGATCTACCACCGGAAACTCTTATACCGGAACTACTTCTGCCTCGATGTCGATCGGGAACACCACCAAAGGTGTTAATGACGTTATTATCTGGGTTCTCAGGAATAACTGGTTTCTCCACCTTTACCTTGATATTGCTTTTCATTATGATAACACTATTTCCAGAATTTGCCTTACTATCTTCGTCATCGTTTAATTCATCGCATTCTTCACATTCAATCACTCTGCTTATAATATGGACAACACCATTCTCAGATACAACATCTCGAGTGGTGATCTCGCCATCATCGTTAATGACAATCGTAGGACGATCGTTGGGTCTACTTATGTTCACAATTTGCCCATTCAATGCTTTCATTCTATACGTCATCAATGGTTTTGCAGCAACCGTATGGAATTCGTTCCAAAGAATATGATTCTCGACCCACTGTAAACAAAGAATAGATTTTTTTAGGAAATCTCATTGCGGGAGGGGAGATACAAATATACTTAAGTCATACCCTGTAACATAACCAATATCTTGCTTTGGTTACCGCGAGTTATTAATCTAATAATTTGTCAAAGAAAAACACTTGACAAAAAATACATATCCAATGTTTGCTTACATTTTCAAGTCGTCTGGTGTCGTTCAACAACTCTCTAACGTATTTTCGCCCAGGGTAACTGAAGGCGTATTCACTTGGAGCAAGAATAGTGTAGTGACCATCTGCATTTCGAAGCCTTTCTTCATAGCCTGATTTTTGTATTAGCTCGTAGAATGTGCTAAAAACAAAAGGAATAAAACACATGTATATGGCTACCAATACTTTCAATAACAACCGGGAGAAGTTATTTTCATAAATGTCATTTTTTCTTGAATGGGATGAATGACACACGCTTTGATGATATTTTCAGAAAAAACTCTACATCCAATTAATTATCTAAACTTTAAGACGTGTCGCAAAAAGCTCGCGCACGCATATACACATTTTGTGGCGTAATCCAGAGGATCCTCGCTTTTAACATGATAGAATGTGACGTTTTTGAGAAAAATGTACACACATGAAAATCCTTTCGTCCTCCACATTTACCTCTATATCTCAAAACATTTTAGACGAATAACTCTGATATCATATATATATTGTTAATGGGCTAGGAGCATCATAAAACACGAATCAATTGATATTTTAGGTGAAATAAATATACGTGTTGCTGTGCTTGAAAATAGGCGAATGGCGTAAATTAGCCCTATTTTAATGAATTTTGAAAACCTTTCGTCCTCCACTTTTCCACATACAACAGAAAACACATACTTTTGTGAACAAAATCAACTATTTATTAATAAACTACAGTTTAGGAGCAAAATAATCATGTATGATTTATTAAAAATTGATCTCGTATTTTTTGTTTAATGTACACCTGAAAAGTTGAAGGTACCAAAAAATGAGCAAAAAAGGTCGCTGTCAACAGATTCTATTTTTCAGACTCTATGACGTCACAATATGGGACGCTTACTAAAATTCATCCTTTGAAATAAAACGAAAAATAAGTATAATAGTCATATATTGTTTGAGTTATGAGCGTTTAAAGACGAAAAATAATTCAAAATGTAACGTGTCAACATGGGATATTTGCCAGATGTTTTGGTAAACAACTCTTTTTTAAAAACGAACGCGCAAAAAATGTGAACGGAGTGTAGTTGATCTAAAATCTTCATCAAAACAGCTTTAAAATGATATATAACTTTAATTAGAATATTATCTTATAATCCGGGGAATCAAAGTTACATTCACGCGATACCCTTAAAAAACAAATGCGCCACCTTTTTGCGACACGTCTAAGTATTTTTTAAACAATTCCGTGGTAATGTTCTCTGAATAACCAGAAAAATATATTTGATTTATTGCAAGATTTGATAATTTGAAGTTTCGTTGTACCTTAGACTGGGGTTGCTGGCTATAACATCCATGACGGTGGGTTCAGGGGGAAATAGAACCCTGTCAATGACATGGATAATTCCGCTACCACTTTTATGATTCGAGTCCACTATTTTGGCGCCATTCACCGAATAACCCTGGAAAGTTAATGCCAAAAATTAATAAATAAATGTAGTTGTGCATGACAAGTCTATCTACACGTCCTCATATTTTGGTAACGGTGCATTAACAAAACATTTTTAGTAAAAATGAGGGCCTATTTTTAATTCTCGGGAGGTTGTTTTCTTCCAGTGAACAAATCATTCTGTAATAGGTGACCCACTATAAAGGGTAGATTGATAAAAAGAATAATGGCAATGTTAGGGATATCATAATGATTAAAAGTATGACTGTGCGCCGGTTCATTATCAAAATAACAAGAATATATTACATCCGTATATGCCGTGGTCACATTTGCCCCGATTTTTACTACGGCGCCCGGCCGATTGAGTATGTTGTTCAAAATTGTACTCATCGCCCGGGCGCCGGTGCTGAAAATCGGAGCAATACGAGTACATACTTACGTTTCTCTTCACCGAAACTCGAACGCCAAACTGGGCAGCAGCACCATTCAGTCCCTCTGTTTTGATCAACTGTTTGTCTAACACATCGTTTGTCGTTATCTTCCCGGGAATCAGGTGGTATTTCAAAACTGTTGGATCGGTGTTCAATCGTTTTAGTTGTTCCAGTGTCATTGCTGAAATATAATTAAGGAGCGTTTACAATGTGTTATTCATTTGTTATTCATTTACCTTACTTCTTTTAATATATCTGTATTTCGTATCTTCTTTATAAAAAGTCTAAAAACAAAGAGTACACCGTATGTTCTCAATTTTGAAGTGCAGGGTGATCTTTAACTCTACTTCAAATAAGTGTCAAATCTGAGTCCGATTCCATTGGATAACCTGGTCGAGTCATTTTTGTTTGAAATTAAATCACTATTTCCACTGATCCCCACCTGGTTATGAAGACGTTACGTCTTTATAACAAAATGAATGAACTTCACTTGAGCAAATTTTTGTTCTCATCATTTTCACCAAAAATGAGGTCGATTTGTATCCAAATATTTTACCCATGTACATATAGAAACACCCGCCGGTCAATGAAAAGCTAGTCAGTCACGAGCAAATATATCCAGCAGCTCCAAGTAATTTCTCATCTACCCGAAGTCTGTATTCTCTGCTTTATTTTGCATTTTTAATCGCCAATGATAAACATGGTTACCAAACTTGTGAACTTACAATTGAACGCTTCGTCACTTGGCACCAGGAAGGTATGATCACCATCAGTAGGGTTCAGCATATCCGCCATTCCACTCTCTTCCATCTTTTCAGTGAACACTTTAATCTTCATATCACTCAGCAAAGTCCTTGCATCTTTTACTAAAGGGTTTTTAAAGAGTAATACTTTACAAAAGAAAAGAATTTAAGCGCAAGAGCATATCCAATCTACGTATGATATATTAATACATCGAATTTATATAAAGTATGCATTTAAACATTTCGCGAAACGGAAATAATTCAAAACGGGTATATTTTACAAGGGTGGTGCACTGGACCTGGGACCATCGCAAAACACATTTCAGATAATATCTTCTGTGTTCTGGTTGATCAAAAATTGATAATTCATGCTTAAATAGCTATATGTGAATGCGATTTGATTATGGCATATTGAACGTGGATGGTTAAAACCAACCGAAAACAAGTTTCTAGAAATTCAACAAATGTGAGAGAAATAGAACTCAACAGTGAAAAATGTGTAATGGTCGTATACGAGGTTGAGCGTTTAAACATTTAGAGGGCAGTGCGTATTCATACTGGGTTTGTCATTGGTTGCTTTGGTGATGCGGTTCATCTCCACAAATATCTGTGACATATTACTTGACTTACTTATATCAGGTATGTTGACGGCGTCAATGACATGTATAATGCCATTGTTCGTCAAAATGTCAGATTTCGTGGTCTTTGCTTTTCCAAACGCCAGCTTCCCTCTGCCAAGACACCCTAGTTTCGTCTTGGATCCCTCCATTGTGACGACATTTTTCTGTGACGTCATAGACGCCGAACAAAGATCTGATCTTAGAATATGAGCCTGAAGCAAAGCTGAAATATTCAAGAAAATACCCAACATTAAAAGTGATAATTTACATTGAATTTCTCTTTGTGTATTTGCGAAAAGAATAACTTGTCAGATCTTGCGCTCGTTACTCTATGAGCCTATACTACCAATTTGCATGCAGCTCATATTTGCCGTGCACTTGTATGTGAAATCGAGATGAAATGTCTTAGATATGATAAGGTTACAATACGTGTACTTTGTTTTAACCCCCAGACCAACATCATCCGGTAAAATTAATGAAAAGTTCGGGAAATCACTGACCTAATGACTACAAAATACTTAGGCCTATTATATTGTAAACAATATTATTGTACCTTTCAATAGGCTTCTGTCAGCAAGAACTTTGGACAGAATATCATCTGGGATGGCAGCAAATGCCTCGTCTGTTGGAGCGAATATGGTGTACGGTCCTTTGTTGTCTCTGAGTGTATTCGCAAGCTCTGTAGTGATTAGAGCCGCAGATAAGTCGTTAAAGCGACTCTCAGGATCGTGTAGCAAAGTTTCGAATATGCTCGGCTTGTCGTGAATTGGTTGGATTACCTTTCAAAAACATTTAAGAAAGGATAGGTATCGATATGGAGAACTGAATTCAACAATGTTTTTCTCTTAAACCAATCATTGAAAACATTCTGTAAAAAAACATGGTATTTTATGTAATGTTGACTGATTAACAACAAATTAATGCGAAAATTATTTAGAAATATTTGATATAACTGTTTTTGTTAACATTTTTTGTTTTTTTTAGTGCAATTGTTTTTGCTCCTTTCTACCAATTCTTGAGAATGAAATAAAATGTCTTTCCGAACCTTGTTGGAACAAAATACCATATACAACATGTTTTTGGACCTCTCAATATTAAAGTTATACAAAGGAATTTTTGGTTCATTTTAAAAAAGTATTCAAAAAATTAAAACAAAATCCCCCAAAATAGATAAAAATCAAAAAAAGCTTTTATTTCATTAACAAGATACTTTTTTAAAATGAACCAAAATTTCCTTTGTACAATTACAATATTGAGAGACCTAAACATGTTGTGTTTATGTCGTTTTGTATTAATGAGGTTCGGAAAGATGTTTCATTTCACTCTGAAAACATGATACCAAGAACAAAACAAGTGTTTGATGTGCTTTTTAAAACAATATAGATGAAAGTATGTATATCTTTTTCAAATTATATTGTTACCATTCAAAAGATGGCCATTCAATTGACAATTTGTAAGATTTTCAAAAATTTTTGATTACTGGTTTAAGAGAAAAGTGTGTTCAAAAAGTTCGCCATATCGATACCCAATCTTTACAATTATATACAAGTTGATTTGAATGAGAAAGATTTAATAATCACTGTTTATACTGAATATCGCAGTAACTCGGCCTTAGGATTGGTAGCGTTATATTCACCTAGCAACTAAGAGGTTAACTTACCCTATCCACTGTGTTCAGCAGACCGTTGGTTGTCTCAACATCTGCTTGGACAATCCTTGCACAATTTACAGTTGTTATCTAAAAAAAATAAAAAATCCATGTACACTCCACACAAAAATCTTGCAACCAGAAGTCCCTATTTAATCGTTTTAAAGCGTGTGTATCTTTGGATCTTACTTAATATGTTCCCCAATTGCTATTGTCTGAGATTTATGACAGGTTAAAATTGAAAAAACATAAAAGGCTTTGAACACGATACAATGGGAGAGTAAAGGTTGCAAAAATTATTAGAGGGAGTGTATTATATAGGAGCGTTGACATTTTTGACGTGTATCTATGTTATTTTGATACAGGTACAGTATTGCCTTGCGTGTGTTGGAGTTTGTTATTGTATTTTACGTTTCACAAATTGTCTTCAAATCATAGTGAAGATTTCTGCTAGATACAGCTAGTCACAACCTTGATTACTTCCCAAAGCTTTACGCAAGTTGCCAGTTGCCATAGATGCTGGCCAGATTCCTCTGTAGTAGAAGAGAATTTATCGAGACTTTGACACTTCTACAAATTAAAACGATCTGACCAGCATCTATGGAAAGTTATATCAAAGTAAGTTTCTCACTCCGTTATCATATTTGTTGACTCTTATAGGACTCATTGTATCTGAGAGGGTAGTCAACTCTTCACCGTTCTCCATACTCGAGGTGTAAACTCGTCCTCTGAGCACATGGTTCTTTATCATATTCTCCCCGTCTGAATCCAATTGTTCTCTAACAAAAATGAATATTCATGTATATTTACTTAACATTAGTTATTTAGTTTGATTAATACAGACTTTACATTTACATGTACATTGCAACAGTAACCTGATAAAATGCTATTTTGACCTTAGCTCAAATTAACGAGGTGAGATTCTTTTGATTTTGCCTTTTCAAAAATTGTAAAAACCAAGAAAAATCTAGTATTTTTGCGACTTTAAACCCAACCGCTCATTTTTTCCCATATTAATGTTATCTGCATTTTCGTAATCGATATCGGCATTTAGATTAGATTACCTCATTTCTGTAGGCATATTAGAGACAGCATTATCCAATGGGGAAAATAATGTAAATGCACCCTTGTTTTCTAACGTGTCTTGTAAACCAGCTACCATGGTTTCCTTTTGGAAGTTCCAGCTCCCGTATTGGTCCATGGATTTATACAGATTGTCCATCTCGGTGACTGAAGGGTTAACAATACGATCAATGTCAGTTCCGCTTCAAGTACAAGTATGATAGTTAAAATATAATCAAATCAATACGTACGGGAAAACACTAAAAAATGACATATTTTAACAAAAAAAATTAATCGTACCCAGAATCAATTATTTTGTGTCTTGTGCTCAGTAACGAAGAATCATCTTTGTCCAACACATTATGGCAACCCCCTCACTCCATACACGCAGACATAAATACGTAACACACTCTAGCATTCCTCCCCACGCGGCACACACTCTGGCACCCGTCCTCACCTGACGTCCCTCACACCGGTACCCCTCCACTCATCCCTACACAAACACCCCCCCCCCTTCCCCACACACTGATTCCCCTCCCCGACAAACTACATTGACACTCAATACAGATACACAAAACTCAAAACTCAAACGAGGGCAATATCGTACCTCCTGTGCAGCCCTTCTCTCCATCCAAGATCTCGTAACCAGGACAACAATGGAAGCGAATGAACCTGGAAATAAAGACAATGTGGGCCGTTTGTTCATAAACAGTCGCTTTAAAGGATGGGATCTTTTTCTAATTTTAGGATTGATTTTCTCGATTTGAATTCGAATGCGCTCTGAAATCCAATCTTCAAAACTTTTTATCGACTTATCAAACACGATAAATTTTTAACATTACATTGTTGGATCCACAGCAAGTATTATCATTTGGAATACTCTCGCCAAAGCGTTAGATAAAGTGAGACTCAGATAAATCAGAATGAAAATATTATATTCTTGAGACTATTTGAACGATTATTTTTGGCATACACTTCCAAACACATAAAGAAAAGTCAATAAAGGCATAATATGCAAATCTCTTAAAATCTCACGAATACAACAATTTGCTATATAGCGAGATTTCAAAGCCATCTAGAAATTTTCTTCATTGTATGGCTTGTTAAAACTTGTTTGTGTTTAAAAATACAAAAGACCGGCGGGCAATGGTGACAAACATGACTTATAGCCAAACATACGCGCTTTAACACATGGCCTAATGGGGGAGTTTGAATTTCAAAACTTTTTGAAAGGAGTGTAAATTTGTTACGTATTCGACTTACGTTTCTTGTCCACATATATCGTGATGTTGGGCAATCATGCATTTAGAGGAATACCTCTCCCCAGTGTCGGCCACTTCTTGACTCGAACACACGTTCGGCCTGAAACAAAAATCGATCAAATGAAATACAATAATTTTCAGTCAAGTTGTCAATCTGATCCTTATTTAGAAAATATCAAAATCAAGTTATAACATCGGAGAAACAAAAGTCATTCGATTTGTTTTATATATTTCTGGAATATCTAGCTAAAAGCAGTAACTGATCAACCATTTTGAATAATGAAAAAGTACCAATTCTATTGAAAAAGAAAAAACGTAGTTTACCAACATTGCATTTTCTCAAGATAATCATTCACAGATGCAAACAAAGCTTATCCACCCCATTCAAAAATTTGGCAAACACGATTGTGAAATTGCTTATGTTTGGATTATAATTTTCCCTCTAATAAATTGAGTCAGAGAATTTTGAGAAAGTTTATTTGAGAGCTTAACATACACAGACTAGAAAATGTCGTCCAGGAGATAATGTTGCAAGACTTTTAATTTTTTGAAGAAAGTGTAGAATACACAGGCATTTTTCTTAAAAAATGAGAAACTGAATTCATTTTTATGAAATGACAATGTACCCTTTCAGTAGCGTCATCCATGGCTCGGTAATTGTTATTTTCTTCATGTGAAAATTGCTGTCCATCGCCATGGCAACAGCAATAGATACAAATATGATACCTATGGACAACATTGCTGAATCTGAAAATAAGAGAAATTGTTTGAGTCATAGTTGTTTTCTTTTCCGGGGTGACTTCCGGGGTGACAATACCGGGTGACTTGAAAGATAGCTACAACGTCGGTTACCCTACTATCACACCTAACTAGTTCTCACTACGTTCTTGAAAACGGGCGTCAACTGAGTACGAACGGACTGGACGTACTTAAAACCGTTTGGGGTCTATTTACAAACTTAATTCATCGAACGTACTCGAAAACGATCACAGAACGAAAACTTATTGTAAAACACTCTTATGACACATTCAATGTTCGCAATTGTACTAATAACTAAGATAAATTAAAAGTTTATATTATTATGATTAGTGCTATATCAAAGGGATTGGTCAATAAAAAGTATCTGCGTAAAAAAGCGTCCATTACTTATTGATCACCCCTCGTATTTGCAAATAAGACATTGAATTTGTAAATCAGTACTGTGAACGAAAATCCTTGGTACCCTGTACTTAAGAATTTCAGAGCATATACATGGAGAACAAAATGTCTATTCCATGATCATTATTAAAAGCGATGCATTAACCGTTTCAATAACTAGTCTTGACAGAATGTACTAATATCATATCAAGTAGCTCCAGAGTTACCAGACAAAGTTCCAGAGAAAGATAACTTTGTCTTCGGCTCTTCAATTATTTTTTAATCGTGGCGCGATTATCCAAAACAGAGGCTTCTTTCTAGAGCCTCTAGAATTGTTATTTATTGCGCCCCTCATTCTGATAACTAACCTCGCGCTCTAAGAAAAAGTACTTACTCACACTCCCCTCCAAAAGTCTGGCAGCACTAACTTCACTTTCAGATAATGTGTAAGGCATGATTGACGTTTTGACAGGACGTCAAAACTAATATCCCCGACCTTATATAATGGAGGAACCTTATTTACAAATACAAAGTTGGTTCAATAGACTTTCCAATGGAAAGTCGGGTTTCCCACACTTTTGGAGGGGAGTGTAGGTCAATCTGACATTTCCAGTTGCCCTACATTTTTTATCATCATTAATATAGTAAACATAAAACATCAAGTACAAGTTAAGTAGACAGAAGAACTATAACAACACTTAAGCAAGTCGTGTGGGTGTTCTCTTGGACGGTAATTATTGTTCATGGCTTGTTACCATGGCAACGGAGCCCCCTGTTCAAACCAGGAGTGAATAACATGACACACCCGGTGTTTTATTAAGTCCATATTCGTGGCATTCCTGTTATCAAATGATACTAAAATCCTTCCCTAAAAGCCAGCCAAAACTGTTTATGAGTTAACATTGGCCAATCCTGGAGAAGTTATGAATTGATTCTTCCAAGTTGTTGTTTCAATAAATTCTTGTAAATGTACATGAAATATAAACGAGGCGATTCTCTATTTTTGAAAGAAACTAGAGGATATCTGAACCTTTGAGTTTTGGATCTGTTTGTATATTTCTGAGTCAGCATCTGACAAGAAAAGAGAATTGATGCCCACGAGCTCTGAATGACCCGAAAAGCACCCCACCTTGTACACGGGTGCTAACCGGACCTCCTGATACCGTGAGCTAAACTTGGCGGTATTATGGCTAATGCAAGGGGCTATATGTCTTAGGGAGCTCGGCGGTATGTTTAGCTCATAGTGGATCCTCATTCCTCAAATGCTCAACATATATTTGGTTGGCCCCATTGTTGGAGTTTTACTTTATAAGGCTAAATCAACTGAGAAATCATTTTAGAAATGTGTAATTGAAGCTATTTTCAAGACGCGAGACCAAACTCTCGAAAGGGTTAGCTATGTGCCAGACTGTCTGTAGTTTTACATAGCAAATGACCTGCCATTGTCTATAATAAGTTGATCCGACCTGACCTTATTCAAGGCTATACCAGATATGTTTGAAGCCCTACCTGTGATAGATGATGGACCATTTGTTAGAGGAACGAACCTAGAAGACCTAGATGAGTGCCGTTAACCACTAAATAGCTAAATCTTTTTTCTGAAAGTGAACCCAGATTTTTTCCATCATATCAATCGAAGTCTTAATGTTTTTCTTATCAGTATTCTGACAGTTTGTCGAATCCAGCCTTCGGTTATAATTTTACCTTTTCATCCAATCCCGGTGTGAAATAAATTGCTCTTCTCATTAAGTTATCAGACTTATAATACAAAAATAATACCAATTGTGTCAGCATATACTAGATTTATAAAAAGGAATCAACATTTCTTACGACCTCATCTAGGTTAAAACAACTTTTAAGTCTTAATTACATAATTTCAAATTATACCGAACACGACATTCACAAATAGACTAGGTGCGAGTAGAAATAATCTTGATTTACGTCATTAAATATTCAAAATTCAGTCAAAGTGATGTCATGTTTGAAATCTGCATGTAAAAGTACATCTAGAAATATGGTTTCGAAAATTGTTTATCAACTTTGAAAATTTAATTTTTTTTGAAATGTGACTTCTTGTTCGGGTTGATTCTCCATAGACCCCATTATACAAAATCACAAAAAGTGAAATATCTTTTCTTGTATTGGATAGATAACATTTTCTTTCACTGGACATATTCCAATTCGCATAACTATTAGATACATAAAGGTTATATGAAAATTGAACCATTAAAACAGATGTTATTAAAGTTAAAGTGAACTTTCTCCTATACTCGCCATGCTATCTGACCCGAACGAGCCACCTGGTGGTGAATCTGGTAACTACCTACTCGCATCTGCGTTATTGCGGAAATAGTTAGTCAGACACACCCGCCTACTCGACAGTATCCTTATTATTTTCTGAGGCACGATTTGCTTCATTTAATATGATATATGTGGGCAATTTAACCCTTTGTCTGACACCCGTATACAGTCTTGGAAGATATATGCCCAGTAACTTTCGACACTTAAAGCCTCTCGGAGTGAGACGGTTTCCAGAACACCACTTTTTCGTATTATGTATTTATAGCGTTTGTAAATTATTGTGGTTATAATGTAATGTTTGTCGACATGTATCCTAAAATGAGAGGTAACTTAGAGAAAAGCAATCAATCTTTAAGTTATCCCTACGTTTCGAAATGTATTTGGAAGCATATGTTTGTTGATGCTTCAAAACTCACGTCTTTCGAGAGTATTTCATCATAACAATTCTTGATCGTGTGACCTCCATTATGGAGAGAATGAATCCGCGATTGTAATAAGGATTTTTAAATCTTTAAAAACGAACCATTTCAAGACAGTTACTAGCTTATAACTTTTGTGGGTTTTATTGCGGCCACATTACTCAAGGGAACGATTTTTATTGTTCAATGATCCAAAACAGTTTTGTTTATTGTTCCCATAAAAACCAAAAACCACTTAAGCCTACCTGCTTTAATCCTAGGGCAGTCTATGGCATTCAAAATTCAAGAACATCGGTTTGAAATCCACCAAACACAACCAGGAAACTACCTGGAACTTAAAATAAAACTAGTTTGAAAATGTCCATTAAACATGGCTTTAAAAAAGTAGAGTCTTCTAGAACTTAATCCATATTTATATATTGAATGCGTACTTAAACTCAATCGAAATATGTGATTCCATGTAAAATTATGCACGGAAATTTTATCGAAATTAAAAAAAATTATGATATATTTAATTCACATACTTACAGTTTTATGGTTAGTGCTTCCCCAGAATATGTGAGCCTTGTGACAAAGCGTGTCTCCCTTTTTGTCAAAACATTCTTGCGCTGTATTTTTGCGAGTATAATAAGAAGTCTTTGGGGAATTGCGCCGATTCGCTAACACCAAAGGCAATTAAATGCGAACTTGATATTAGTGTATCACTTGAGCCTCAGCTAAACTTTTTTGTAAATCACATGGATATCTAATGCAATCTGACATCTGTTTTTCTTGGTGGGTAGGTGTTTGTCCAACATACAGCTGGGTTCCTATGTGTTTTTAATCTGATAGGCCATTCAAGGTTAATAACATGTTTAACGTCCCCCGTTAAGAGACACAATCTTAAGCGGTTGGGATGGAGCAGAAATATATTAAAAAACACAAATCTTTATATCTGTCAAATATCAAATATATAACAAACATTGAATAGTGTGACTGATAAAATACCTAGACGCAATATGGGATGCGGCGATCCAAAAACAGCACTTTGAAAATCATAAGCAACAACAAGCAAGGATGGGTACCATCAATCAAATTAGTAGTTAGCTGATTGTTTTAAAGGCTATGATTTATCTATTTATACAGATGTGATACAAGGTCTATTTATACAGATGTGATACAAGGTCTAGATTTTTCACTTTACTATGTGAATTTAATTCATGGTTTTATTCAAACAAAATCAATAAGCATGGAAATATTGTTAAAATCAAAGAACTCCTTTCACTATAATATTTTTCTTGTTTTCCGAAAATTTCCTCATATGATTTTAGTAGGGAAGGACGTTAAACATGAATTTTTCATTGAATGACCTTATCATAGAGGCTATTAAGCTACAAGATATGGCTATCTGAGCCTCTGAAATACTTTTTTTGCGTGGGTTGTTTGTCCAGGTTGGAAATACGTTGAACTTCTTATTCCCGAAGAATTTCCTCCAAATGTTTTTTGCTCCCTCGAGCGATGAAATCATAGGTGAAAAGATGAGTGAAAGAGAGAAGATTCCTCGTCAACCGTACGAATTAATAAAGCTGGTCATCCAATCTATCTAAATAACTCAACAATAAATAAATAAGTTATGATGATTATTCTTGAGCAAAGTTTTCCCGACCCTTTGTATCATTTAGCTCTTGATGTGTACAATTTCCAAAATGTTTGATGTGATCGAATTTGGAGTTCAGAATCTCTAGAAAAGGATGAATAAAATAATTAATGGAAAATTGGGACATACCCCAGGCCCAATCCAAAAGCATATATAGCAACGGTGTAGTATTAATAACCATATCAGTAGTGCCAATTACTAACCCCCATGTGTGTAGCCAACAAGCACTTTTAACCTATCAAAATAAACAAAATGTAATATGATGTAAACTAAAATCGGTGGCAGGGCAATTTACAGACTTGAAAGAAACAAGCATATAATTAGACCATTGGTTTGTAAAAAAAACAGAACTTAAAATAGCTGAATTTTACATAGGTTGTTACACATAGAATTTAATATCCGCCAAAACAAATGAAATGGCATTTATTTATATTTTTTAACCTTTGAATATAAAGAGCGACTAAAAAAGTTACTAACACTGACAATGGGAGAATACAATGGTTTTAGTTCTTGTTGACCTTTGTTGACCTACCTTTTTGGAAAAAAACAATACTTTTGTGATGAGGTGATTGAATTAGGGTTACAACAAAACCAACATTTCCCCCCTCACCCTAAAAAAAATTGCGACTTGTAGCCTTATAAAAAATGTAAAAATGATTTTCCGTAAAGCTGGTTAAGAAGCTGAAGCTGGTTAAGAAGCTATACATGTCTTTCAACTCTTGGGCTCCCCGGGGGGGGGGGGTACTCGCATTTATTGGCTATATGGGGACGTGCAGCTAAAGTGGGTCACATTTTCGCCGAAAAAGCCCTAGATGTTTGTCCCATTTTAAAGAAAAAAAAACTAGATATGGGTCCCATTTTGATGAAAAAATCCCTAGAACTGGGTCTTCTTTTTGAAAAAAAATCGCCGGATGTGGGTCTTGTTTTTTAAAAATGACCTTGAGGTGGGTTTATTTTTGAAAGAAACCGCCAGATGTTGGTCCAATTTTAGAGAAAAAATCCCTAGATGTGGGTGGATATTTTGAGTCTCAGCGGCACCCCCTGTACAAAAAATTGACCAGTACCCCCCCCCCCGCCGGGATGGTCTCTCATGCCTGGC